GTTGGCTCATCATAGGGGTCTAAAGATGTTGAAAATGATTTGCCAGTAATAGGATTGTCTTCTACAAGGTCGTTCGCTGTTTCAAGCTCGGTTCTCACAGCTGCGCAGGATTCCATAGTCTGCCCTGTACGTTGGGTCTGACCGTTATATAAATGGTCCTCCGCGTACTTATTACTTTTAATAAATTTTGTAACTCTATAAAAATCATTTAATTTTTGAATAGATTCTTGATCATAATATCCTAGTGTACTTTTATTACTTGGTAATTCTTTTGGATCAAATATACGAAATGCATCAATAAGATTATGATCTGGAAATCTTTTATTTAAACTTTTAATAACAGTTTTTACAAAATCTTAAACAAATAATGGTATTTTAAAATCTTCTATATTTTTTTCTATTAAATAGTTTTTTAAATGAGTTCCCCATATTGGTGCTATATCATCTTCACCAATAAATTCTGTAGTAATAGCATTGATAGTTGTATTAAGTTGAAGTTTCATATCAAATAAAGATAAATAATTAGCTTGAAAAAGTAATGTTAATCATCTTAAATATCCCATAATATCTGCTAAATAATATGTAGTTAAATAAAAATTATTATCAATTTCTAAATATAAAAATTTTGCTATTTTATCTGTTGAACTACCTTTTAATAAAACTTCAACAACTGAATTAATAATTTGTTGTAAATTTTTAACTATATTAGATAATAAAGCTAACCAGTTATAACTAATTGAAGAAGTACTAATTCTGAATCACCAAATTCTTTTTCTATCATCTTTAAACTTTGCATTCGTGAAAAAGATGTACTAAAATAAGTATAAAGCTTTTTAACAATAGATTCATAATGGCTTAAATATGTAACTTTTTTAGCAGCATCTTTAACAGCCAGTGCTAAACGATGTGAAATACAGTGATGTTCAGTTAAAAAAGGATATAACACTTTTAATTAAGTAGCTACACTATTTAATTTTCCTATAATAATAATTTAAAATTTTGATTAAGTTACTAAATATAAATTAATTTTTAAAATTTTAAATATTAAAAATTAAATATAGTTTATACCTAACATTATACTTGCACCATCTGATTCCATATGAAATAATGTTTTAGTTAGTAAATTTTTAGCAATAAAAAAATGTAATAATTCATTGATTATAGCATTAGCAGTTCCTGAAGTAAGTTGTATCATTCTAAGATATCTATAATATGGTATATTTTGAACAAGATGTTTAGATACTATGGCAAGATTTTTATCATTTGTAATTGTAATGCTTTCATTAATCATTACACTCTAGGCCAAAGATTCAGTTAATTCTTTAATAGTTGATTCTTTAATTACTCATGCTATTGCTTTAATAAAATCACACCCAGCATAGTTATTTGAATATGAACCATATTTATATCTTTCTTCTGGTATCATATTGGTTAAAGCAACTGGTTTAATAGTATATACACAAGTAGAAGTTATATAATCTTCTTTATTTTGAATTTGCGTATTTACTAAATTACATAAATCTTGAAGGTTTAATGTTGCTATATTGTTTTCTACCAACCAATACATATTATGCATATTTTGAATAACTTTCAATTTTTCAACTAATAAGGGCTTTCTAATACATTTATTAATAGTTAACTAAATACATGTTTCAATTTCTTGTGCTTTTTAATGATTTTTTGAATTTAAATACCAAATTAAATATTGTTCTTTAAACCAGCTTGTATCTTCAGTAAAAATATTATTAAATTTTGCTTTCTCACACCATTTACAAAATAATATTGAAGGATTTATTGGTGATTCAGCTCTAAGCCACAGGTAAAATTGAAGCCAGTTAGGGTTCCACTTTAAATTTTTTTTGGTAAGTCGAGGATGTTTAATAGACTTAATTTCATTATTTGAATCAATTTTGCTTTCATTTTGAGATCCTAGGTCTGATACTAATTCACTATAATTTTTATTATCAGCTACTGCTTGCTTTTTATTTTGTATAGCTAAAGTAAATAGATTTATTTCAATAGGAAGATTTGAACATTCTCTTTTTTTTTTTTACTTGACATTGTAATTAAAGTATGGTTTAAGATGCATTCTATTCATTATATATCTATATTAATAAAATAATAATAAATAATTGTTATAAATAACTTTCCTTATATACAGTCAGACCTCGTTATAATCACTCTTGATATAGTCATAACCTTGTTATAGTCACACTATTTTTTAATCCTAGACATTATAAAACATATAAAATTTGACCTTAATATAGTCACACTTTTTTATAATCACCAAATGTTTGTTTCCCAACCTGGTGATTATATCGAGGTCTGACTGTATTTATAACTTGGATAAAGCTATCCCTTAATATTATAAAATATCGAATACTTTTAGTTTAGCTTACTGCATTTCAATGGTGTTTATATTGTTTACAATTTTAACAATTGATTTCTCAATAATTAAGACAATTGATTTCTCAATAATTAAGCCTTTTTAAATTAACAATTCAAATTCAGGTCCTTATTCTATCAATTTAAAACTTATAGACCCGGATCAAAATACGAATAAGAAAATTAATAAATTAATTGTATAGAACTTACAGAACATATAAATATATAAAGAAAAAATCAAAATCTTTACATTAATAAATTAACTTAAAGCTTAGATTTAGATAAACTCTTTAATTCGTTAACTAATTTTACTTATCCTATTTATATTATTTACTTATAAATAGTTCACATATTTATCTATTGTTTGTTAATATTTAAAATGCTTATCTAAATCCAAGCATAAATGAAAAATATTTAAATTCTATTAGTACTAATAATTAATTGCTAAATTAAACAGTCAGATGAGTGAATGCTATATGAAAGCACATGCAATTAGCAACTAATTTTGAAATTATTAGATTATAATAACAATAATAAAATAGTACCATTATGAATATAGAAATAGAAGAATGTATACACTTATTTGTGTAAGTAATACCAACCCCTAAAAAGAAAAATAGCCAATCAGAGTGCACAAAGCTTGACTATTTCAGATAAATCAGCCTTGGTGCATTAATTAAAAATGTTAAGAACAAAAATTTTACATATAGCACTTAGTTTATTTACAATATTTCAATTTTTTTTTGGGTTTGTGTTACTCGCACAAATAAGTAAACTGATAGTTGAAGACAGATAACAATAGCACCCACCAAATCTCAGTAATATTCACATTTGAAACCTCACATCTTATGCTGAATCCTGTCATTTGGGTATCTTCAAAACTTATTGTCAAGGCTGGTTTGTTTTGTGCAATATAGGAAACTACCGGCTGATGCTACGCATTGCTGATAAGCTGTGGACAGTGATACCCAGTGCATATTCCTAGCTTATACATCAAATTGCACTAATATATTCAATAAGCATTTAATCTTTGGCAGAATTAGTCAGATGTATCCAATTGGAATAATATCATATGCGTACAATGCTTTTCGATTAGCTAAACTAGTATTAAACCAAAATCTGAAATATGTCAAGTGAAATTCTGCAATTAGCTAGCCTATATCTTGATCTTCAAAATTTCTTGTATAAATCTTGAATTATTCAGATTAACTAATTTTTTCTAGTTTTTATTGGATAAAGAGAAATCCTACTTTGATTAGATGAAATTTGCTTAAAAATTTGATTCAATCAAATAATGAAAGTAGCATTTAAATATTATAAAGGTGTTGCACAGAGTTTTTGAAACTGTTTTTCAGATAGTTACATGCGTAATCTACAGAAAAACCTTTTAAAATGCATTCCTCTAAATACAAGACCTACAGTATTTAAATTCTCTCCCTATAATTGACAACCTTTTAAATTCTGTCCAAACTAAACATTATCTATAAACTATAAATGCTAAATCTGTATTCTTATTTTATTTGTGCTGTTCTTCTAATTTTATAGTTATACAAAATCACAAATAGAATGTTTTGGCAACTCAGTTAGATATTTAATATACAGCATTGTTATAAAATGTTATACTTAACTGTACTTGGGTTGAATCTTGCTTGAATGTTTATAATTGACTCATAATTACTGAATTTGGAAGCTAAAAGAAAGTCATGCTGATAATTGCCACATTTTCTGGAATTCGTGTCAGCTGGTGGTATTCTATTGATATCTGAATGTTGTTCACTTGGCCATCTTTTCAATTTGGTAAATGTGCATTAATTTGAAAAAGTTTAAATATGTCTAATTTTGGATAAATGAGTAATTATGGATCAATTTCTTTTCTTACGATTTTTCATTTAGTCTTTAATGATCAGTAATTATCAATTAATCAGCTTGATAAAAAATTCCTGAAATGAAAATAAAAAAATCAAAATTTAAAAACCAGATATATTAATTTAAATTGGATCACAAGCTTATAATAAGGCAGCTCAGTGTAGTGATAAATAGGCAGGTGCCAAATGGATCTTCTTTATAATGGTAGTGCCAACTAATCTATTTGTAGTGGGGTGGTATTTTCTCCACAATGCAGTTACACATTATGTAATAAAAAAAGAGTTGTAGTGATAATTATGAATCCTGTTTAGGGATGTTAAAAGTTTAGTTCAGTTCGGTTCAACTCGACTCCAATGAGTTGAGTTTTATTAAAGTCAGTTCTAAATCAAACTTGCTAGAACTCAACTCACATTGCACATTGTAGAAGGATAAATTATCCTCCAAAATTACTATAGATCTGACATAGTACAAGACAATTTTTTAAATTTTATAAAATTGTTAAATTTTTATAAATCGATAAAATCGTAGGAATGCCAAAATCAAAGAAAACGAAGGAATAATAGAGAAAATGTAAATAGATTAAATCCATTAACTTTAGTGAATTAGCTAAACTATGTCACCCTAAATAAAGTAGCACTTAGCTATTACCTTTCGCCTGTCGGTATATAATTTCAAGTCTTAGAGTTCAACTAATTACCCCCTTGATAAATAAATTCTGTACTAAAGATAGTAATTAGTGATCAAATAACGTGCTTCGTATTAAGATCCGTGACTAGTGATGTGCTATATACAGTATTATACGTACTGTACTGTACGTACTGTATACTAAAATTTTTGCAAATCATTTATCAAGAATGCCTACCTGATGTGCCAATTGACCAATCAAATTCGTTAATTGATCAACTCAGATAATTTCTGAAGAAGCTTTTGACTTTGAATTATACTTTGACTTTTACTTTGACTCTCACTTTGACTTTCGCTTTGAATTTCACTTTGATTCTCACTTTGACTTTGCTTTAATTTTTGATTTAACTTTGATTTTCACTTTGACTCTCCTTGCTTTGACTTTATCTTCAACTTTCATTTTAGATTCACTATAACTTCACTTTAATTTTTATTTTACTTTGATCTTCTCTTTGACTTTCATTTTTTGACTTTCACTTTTTATTTGAGAATTTTTTCTGTGTTGTATTCACAAAACTATAATTTTGATCAATCATTTAAATAAGTTATTTAAGTTAATAAATATTTTATACTTTGCTTTTTGTTTATTAATATTAATTTAGCTAATAAATATAAAGGATTTTAATGTTAAAAATAATCATAGCATATTAAATCTTTTTATTCATACTATTTATTTGTTAGCCGTTTAAACCTCAAAAAAATGTATATATATTACTGTTTAAACAAATATATATATATTAATGTTTAAAATTTAAAAAGTATCACTAAAAGCTTCAAAGTATACATAATATATTATTATATTCTTCTAATTGTTAGCATTGTGAGAACAATGTTAAATGTGTAATAGTAATAGTAATACTGTTACAAGTGAACTGTAGCCTTCTTAATACAGCACAAGTAACAAAGCACATGACTACAGGAGATGTAGTGGTGTGGAAGTGGAATGTAACTTCACTAGCGCAGTTCAAGGAAGGTATATAGTTAAAGAAAGATATATTTTATTTACTTGTTTATAGAACTTTATAACAAGAAGGAATTTTATAACTAAAGAGATATCTGGGTCTAATTTAAACTAACTGGCAGGAAGGGAGAAAAGCTAGTGTTTATATATCTTTTAAAATAATAAGAAACAGTAGAAAAGGTAGAAAAGGTAGAAAAGGTAAAAACAGTAGAAAAGGT